ATCAAACTGAATTTGTCGCTTTTAAGTTGCACAGCCTCAGTAACTTAACAGATTTTATTACTTATTGAACATATTATACCAGGATAATTCTTTCATCACTTATTAATATTTATCTTTACTAACCTAAATTAGCTTTAGGGACGCCAGACTGTTGGGTCCTTGTGAATACCTGTCAGCATGACCTCTTCGGGTTGCTACTATGCCATTTTAGGCCTACCAAAGCACGCTTCACAAGATGATATACGCAAAGCCTATCGGAAATTAGCTCTTAAATGGCATCCTGATAAAAATCCAAATAGCAAGGAAGAAGCTGAACATCGTTTTAAGAATATCAGTGCCGCCTATGAGATACTCTCAGATACTGAAAAGCGATCAGTTTACGATCGTTTTGGGAAAGAAGGGCTTAACCGAAACAAAGGGACCGGTTCCGCTGGATGCTATTACAGATCTCGATCCAGTGGTTCAAGATCTCGTCGTCGTACAATGCCTGCAGGCCATGGATTTTTTGCCGACCTTGATCCTATGTTTAACGAAGGGGATTTTGCTTCTGGCTTTCCTTTCACTTTCACTTTTCGGGATCCAAAAGAAGTGTTCCGCGAGTTTTTTGCTGAGCACATGAATATGATGAATATGGCTGCTGAATTTGCTGCTGCGAATGCATCTGGAGTTGATTATATGGGAAATCAGCAACGTAGACATAGCTGTACGGACAATGGGCATCACCATTCCCACCAAAGAGCCTCAACAAAACATCCTAGGGGTGATCAAAAAGCAGGAACTGATCATCCGCTGGACAGGCGCGCTCATCGGCATGCCTTTGGTGGAATTGGCCTCATGCCTATGTTTGATCGTCTGTTTGATGCAGAATTCGCTTCCTTTGATCCATCTTCACGATCTGTCTCTAATACTCGCATCCCTCAGCATACTACGAGTGCATTTTTCAGTTTTGGACCTAATGGTATAGTTGGTGGAGGTACAACTAGTAACAATCCTAGTGTGCGAGGGACCTTTCGATCAACCTCCACCAAATTTGAAAATGGCAAACGTGTTACTACTAGAAAGATAGTTCAAGATGGCGTAGAGACAATAACAATAGAAGAAAATGGTGTTATCAAATACAAAACGGTTAACGGTCGCCAAGTAGCTATAGCTAATGCATGACTAAGGAGAACACATGTGCAGCGTTAGCTGCTTTTCCTTTGTTAGATTGCATCCTTGTCACCCGATTAACTCTTTGTTTCTTCATTATACTTGGTTCTCTCCGTTTGCCCATTTTCCGCATAGGTATTTTTAAATTCTTTAGTCAGTCTATGCTTGCGATACTGCACACAAGAGAACGCGTTCTTTTAACCTACACAAATTCTTACTAACCAGGATTCGGTCAGAAAATTCAAATTTTTTACGCTTTTGACTATTGACCTCTGTAATTTACCTTATGGTGCGATAACTGATCTTGCTTTCATTCCCCATTGTACACATTTTCCTTTACTTCATATATACTAAAATTGAACCTGAAAATTCAGCTAAGTTTGTTTGGGGGACTCATTCGACAGACATTTTGAAGGATAGGACAGTATCTTTGTTGATAATTTTGCCTACTTTTCAGCATCCACTCGCCAAAATATCCACGAACTTTGTCCTCTGCTACCATGACGAATGCATCCGATCGACGCCTTATAGATTTTTACTCTGACGATCACTCATCTGACTCCCATTTAAA